TAAGAAGTCCTTACGGTCTTATAACAGCGCACCTTAGAAAAGCAATTAAAAGGAAATTCACTCCTACTTCCTAACCGATGTCGCAAAACCAAAGGTGGGTTTGAACCACGGATCCCTTATTTTTTTTAGGAAAGTGCGCTACCACTGAGCCACGGCTGCTTAAACCCAAAAGTTAATTTGTCCCGCTTTTGCTGGATCGTAAGAATTTATAAGAACAATACAACTCCAAAGATTTTTATTTGATTTGTATTGTCGCACTCAATTTCTCAGATTATTTGAAACGACATGATCATAAAATTATAAAAAGATTTAAATGCTTATTTGCATTAATTACACGCTAAATTAAAAAGTTATAAGGACAAAATATTATAATATTTACATCATCAAAAAACGTTTAAATAAAAAACTCGTTTGTTCGTAAAAAAAGCATATCATCAATTAAATCAGACGTAAATCGACTACGATGGTCTGGTGTCATGTGCTTTAAGACTGAAAACAGACGCTCGACACTGACTTGGGATATGGGTAGCGACAAAGCAACACGGCAGGCGTCCCGTACAACTTCAGGGAACTGCTCAATTGATTTTAATGGGTTAAGTTTTAAAAACTCGTCTAAGTTGGATGATTTTTCTTTAAACATTGAACGGATTTCCGGAATTGTTTTTAGAGCTAGTCGAAACTCCTTTTCGATTACATCTAGTTGAACCTGCATTTGTTCTTCTGAAGAATTTTCTTGAACCTCCTGTTCACACAACTTAAATAAATTTGGTCGACGCTTTGCAACTGGTGAAGCATTCTCCTCATTTTCTGAACTAGAGTCTGACACATAAACTGCAAAAGAGTTGCGCTCTACTGCTTTTTTGGTTTTATTGAGTTCATTATTCTTATTTTCATTAGCGAGTTGAATAAGTTTGTAATGTATTTTCCAAAGTCCATCAGCTGCAGTTATCTATAGAAGTATTTATACTTTTTGGAATATGTATTTTTTAAAGTTAAATAAATAAATATATATAAATAAAATTTTATTAAAAAAACAACCTTGTCTTCAGTCGCTGTTAGCATACAGCCATGCCTAATATCAACGTAAACTGCTGCAAGAAACAACGGATTTTCGCGTAGCGCGCTTTCTCTATTATCCATTCCTTTTTGGAAATCTTTGGCTAAGTCACTGTCCTTCCCGTCAAGTTCACACTTAATTGAATTCCAATCAAAAAGAAATTCGCCTGCGGTGATATTTTCACGTTGAAGACGAATAGTAAGATCGCGTGCCATATGCAATACATCTCTCAATTCCTCTCACATACCCCAAAAACATGGTCGCACATTAAATTCTTTAGGAGCTTCTTTTTGCATATTTAGATTTTGAATTACTGGTCGAATCTAGAAGAACAGAAGAATTCATTAAATATATGTACAAAGTTATTAACTACTTAAATAAAGAGGATTATTAAAGAAATATTTACATAAACTAACATTTAAAAATTATTAAGTAGTATAAATGTCATTACCATTGAAATAATTGGGTTTATATTATACCGGTGAGAAAACTGGCTTATACACTTTGATTAAAGCTTAGAAGTTATAAGTTATAACTTACCTTAATTAGCCTCTCAATCATATTGAACTGGCTAGACCAACGGGTAGCCTGATCTAAAATTGGAATGAGATGTGGAGTCTGGTCTCTGAAGAAGTCAATCCACTTTGAATTTCTTGCAGCTTTGACAACATCTCTGGCATGGTTAATTAGATTTTTTATTGTGGGCCTTTTCAATGCATCATTTACGGCTAGCTGTAAAGTGTGGACAGCACATCTTTGAAGATGTATTACACTCATGCTACTGGCAACTCCACTTGCCAAGACTGCTTCCGCATTGTCTGCTTTAGAATAACCATCTTCGTCAAATTCATCAGTTTCTACTGAAAAATCGTCTTCGTCATCTCCAATATCTTCAACGGCGCTGATGCCAAAGTCGCGCACCAACTTTATATTCACCTAAGGATATTAAATATGATTTCAATAGTTAAAGTTTAGTGAACCTTACAGTATACAAAAGATTTTATCAAAATAGTTTAATTTTTAAATGATTTTATGGAAAATAATAACTTTAATCACATAATTTAAAATTTTTTTTATTAACAAAAAATATAGTGAATTTCAAAATATGTTACTCACTGCTGCGTTGTCAACACTGAGGCCTAAAATATTAATTTTATTGATTCCAAACTTATCTAAACACTTCTCAATAATTTTTTTTGTGTATTCCGCCGTTTGTTTTCCCTTTGTATCAATCGTGCCAAGATTGATCACAGCAATTTCATCATTGTTCGAGTATTGGGCATTTATACCGAGGTAGTGACGCATATGCCTTGATGTAGAATCGACTTTCAAATAAATTAGCATTTTCGATAATTTGTTTTTGATTTGTTCGCGATGCTTTTTGGCAAGATCGATAATTTGAATTCTCATATTATCTCTATTCATTTTAAATCCAAAATGAGATGAAACTTTTCCGCAAAGCTTTTGAATAGGTTCCCGATCAAACGCCTATAGATATTGTTTTTAGAATGATAAATGTTAATTTAAAAATGCCAAAAAAACATATAACTGTCTAGATTTTTTTTTTTTAATTAAAAAATAATTACTAACGAAAAAATAAATTGAACCTGGAATGAAAGACCTTCAACCAAAACCAGCTGGTTTAAGGCTTCTAAAAACTCATCTTTTGTAATATGCAAACTAATTTGCTGTGGTACAAAACACTTTAATATGGATTGCTGTGAAGTGCTGCCTTTGATGGCTGTATATTTTTGCTTCTTATTCTTTTCTTCTATTTTTTTTTCTAATTTTTCTTTTTCTAACGTAATGAGGAGCTCCGCATGTTTTCTAGATAAGTGTCGTATAAGGTTGCTAATGCGAGCTTTTGCGGCACATGTAATTTCTTTACCACATAACTCGTTACTTTTACTTTTTTCGGGTACAAGACATTTGAAGCATACTACTTTGCATCCATTCAAAATTTTATTTGTGCGATGAAAGTGTCTGTAGATCGTATCTGATGCATAGTTAGTGGCCATTACTGGTCAAGATTGATACACGCGAGTTAATAGCAAATATTATTTTAAAGAAAGAATGTTGTTATTGCAAGTTATTGTGAACATGTAATGTATTTTCTTTGTGTTATATATGCTTCGCAAAATTAATTTTTTGTAAAACAACCCACGAAAACATAGTTAGGAAAGCTGTTACAATGGCTAGTTATGAATCGATGACGTTAGTAGTTTTTCTGTAAAAGAAATTGCTGTGCAAAATAATTTTTATTTATTTGTTGAGGTATTTTTATAAGCTTTTTTTGGCTTCTTTCTGACCTTGATGGTACGTTTTTTGCCAACTGTCTAGATCGTTAGCTTGATTTTATAGCGCAAACTCACAGACAAATTTGTTTTTTTATTGCGTATAATTAATTTGCTAGTGAAATTTGATTGCTTTTCGTATCTAAACCATATTGCTTTCATTACAATTTTTCATTAGGCGTTATTAAAATAAAATTTTTTATTTTATTAGCAGAGTAGACTTTTTATTTTCTTAGACAGAGTCATGCCATTTTGGGTTGAAATTCAAAAAAAATAAAAAGATATATATTTTTTTCTAATAGTATTTACAAGCTTCATTTATTTATAAGTAAAGTTTCCTACTATAGTTTACAGTTTTAAACAGTGCTTAAACAAAGCAAAAAATATATCGACAATTTTTTTTTAAAGAACTTGACTTTGGTAAAATATTTGTCTACTGCTCATAACCTAGTTAATCTATTCTAATCGACTTTCTTTCTATGATCAATCTAAAAAATTAAAGATAACGAAAAAACTTATGCATAAAAGCAACTTCAACACTAAAATATCATTTATCTCTAAATTTGATAAATATTAAAAAATAATAAAACAACTAAGCGTTCAAACATATCTTTATCTGCAGGTCTAGCCAGTGGCGATTTTGTGAATAAAATGAGGAGGATGAATCCTTCAAAAGTGACTAATGTCTTATAAAAAATATTTAAGTGTCGAATGTTAACTTCCTCTCTTTTTAGGAAAATTGTCCCTGGGTCTCGAAATTTGATGATGAGGAAATACTTAAATAAACAGTTAATCATAAGTACTTTCTTAACGGGATAAAAAAATTAATTGTTTTAAAACTATAAATAAATAAACAAAAATTGTTACATATAAAATGAAAATAATTTGCGAATAAAAGTTTATTAACTTAATATAAAACTTAACATTAAATATCATGAAATTTTTAAAGTTAAAACACTTTATTTTTTTTAATTAAATTTAACAGAAAAAAAATTTTTAAACAGTTTCTTTAACAAAAAAAACTATTAGATCGCAATTGCGGTTAAATACTTTTATTTACAACATTATATTTTCTGAATAAACGTCACATCAACGATATCAAAATAAAAATTAAATATTCTAAAAGAAGAAAGTTTTCTCTTAACGTTAAACTGCTGAACGCATAAGCATATGGCCTTTTCGCACGTAAAATGCGAGCTTGGTAACGCCTCTTAACAAGGCGTAACATTCTAACCGATACTCAATCTGAGTATTGGTTCGAATTAGTAAGGAAGGAGATGAGCTTTCCGGTCAAATGCTCTTTTACAGTGTTTTGTGACAAGACTATCAGGTATTTCTTATGCATATTAATAACTATAAAAAAAAAAAAAAGAGTCCTGGAGTCCTAAAATTTTTATGGACTCCCGAGACTCCGGACTCCGGGCTAAAATAGGGACTCCATGGACTCCGACTCCGGACTCCGACTCCGGACTTCGCATCCCTGATATATATATATATATATATATATATATATATATATATATATATATATATATATATATATATATATATATATATATATATATATATATATATATATATATATATATATATATATATATATATATATATATATATATATATATATAATATTGTATTTTTTATTATAGTTTGCTCTCAAATAAAAGTTGAATCTGATATTCAAGCTCCAGATGCCACTCCACAATTTATAAAAGTAAGATATTTCATTAGACATTATAAGTATTACAGTATTTCTTTTTTCAGCTAACTGTGCCATTATTTTAATTTGGTATTTGTTTAGTATTTGATAAAATTAATTTTGTCTTTACGTTAGTTGACTATAGTAATTTAGTTTTTGTTTTAAAATAAAAATTTTTTTGCGTGTGCGTGTTTTAACAAAATTAATGTGTATTTTAGCCAGTATCAATATCTGCTACCAGAAATTTATCTGAAGGAACAACAATAGCTGCTTTAGTATCAAATCTTTCTACTTTAGTAGGAAATTCTTCTTCAAGTAGAGGTATTTTTCAAAAATGAAGTTTTGAGTATTACATGTTATTAAAAGACAAATTACATTTGATAGTTTAGATCATATTTAATGTTTTGGTGATTTTTTGAAACTGCTATTTGCATTTTTCATCTTTAAGTAGAATTATTATAGGATACCAGCAGCAAATGCTACTATTTACAAATACCATACTATTATATTAAAAATACCATTATTTATACGTGATGGCATATATGATTGTACATAATGCTAATGGCAGATCTCTGTATATTCATTTCTGCACTCCTGCAACTTGAACTTGAACAAGGCCAGTTAAAAAAAAGAAAAAGCTTTTTTTGAAAAAATGATCTATAATCTATGTAGCAATAATAATTTTATTTTTTTGTTTATGATTTAAGGTGCTGTAACAAGCTTTATTACATCCCGGCCTTCAATTAACATTTCTTCTGCATCAAATGTTGCGCATATTACCAAACCACTAGTGGTTACTAAACCTTTGGTAGTTTCACAAAATTCACAACCAATGTTACTACCAAAGCCAAGTATTCAACAAAAACAGGTTATATGATTTATTATTTTCTTTTTTTTTTTGGCTTTTTGTTCTCTGGCTTATAAATTATGTTTATATTTAATTTTTTTGTATATTATGTTCTGGTTTATAAAGTAAAATAAGTGTTAGCACAATTTTTGATTACAAACAAGATTTTAAATATATATAATCAGAAAAAGCTGGTATTGCTGCATTGACATGTTTTCACAATCGTTATTGTAAATATGCAATTAGCACAAGTATGATGCATACTTAATAGATTTTTAATTAATGTGTAATTAATCAATTAATAGATTTTTAATGCCAATTTCCCAAACAACTCAACCAAGGCGTAAGTATTGCTTGTGATCTATATGAACTTAGCAGGTTTAAAACCTGCTAGTTTCATACTAAAAACATGTTCTCTAAATGAGATTAGCCCACCAAATGTTAATCAGCTAAATCTACCAGCTGCATCTATGTTTGAAGAATTAAAGACAATTATGGCAAAGGTAGTCTCCTGAAAAATATATAATGTTAAAAGAAAACTTTGTTGTTTTTGAAATACTATGTTTGGTAAAGTAATTTAAAACCTTTTTTTTTTTAGGTTGTAATAAATTCAATAAAATTTATTATTTTCTGTGCAAATCTTTTCTTCAAACTCAAGGAAGTTAAAACATAGAAATATAAACTGTTTTAAATTTAATAAATTGTCTTTTTCTATTTAATAAAAACTATTGTATTAATTATATACCATAAAAGTAAAGTAACAAAATATGTAAATTATGTTCCGTAAAAGTAAAAATATGTATATCTTGTTCACCAAACTTACTATATAGAATTTTTGCTAGACAACAGCTTTGGAAACTGTTGTTCTGTGAAAGCTGTTTTTTTGAGTAGCTGTTTGGTTTTCTTGTTCTACAGTAAAAGCAAAATAGTATTGATATTCACCTTGCATTGTGCAAACTGTCTGGTCTAGTAAACCCATAGAACATTATATTTTTGCTTATTACTTAGAAACAGCAATGTTAATTAAACATATTCTTTAAAACAATGTTCTTTACTGTTGAAATTATGACTCATTTATTCTTGGTAAAGATTGATAAAGTTTCTTGAATATCAAAGATTGTGAAAGTCTAAGCAAAAATCTTCCAGCTACAAAATTAGGATAATAATTGTAAAGCCATTCTTCTGCTTCATCTTCATTTTTAATTGTCAAGTTATTACCTATGAAAAAAAAAAATTCTGGTTAGTATCAAAATCAATTATTTGATTTTAAATTTTAAACTTATTTTTCCCTAAAAAGCGAGAATTGGTTATTTATGCAAGGTAGTGGATTAGCGTCATAGCATCATTTACATCTTTTCTTGATAGCTATGTAGTAATGACTTTTTTCAGGGTTGTTTAGAAGTGAGAGTCACAACTCAACATAGGTGATAGCTGTTACTTTGCATCTAGAAAATATTTTGTTTTTTATTTATTTAATGAATTTGAATTAATTTAATGAAATGAATTGAATGAATTTAATGAAAATAATTATTTTATTTTTATTATTTTTTCTTACACTTTATCTATTATTATTTTTATTTTGTAATAAAACTATAGTTAAAAAATTTGAAATACTTATTCTAAAACAACACCAAATATTTTAAGTTGGGTTTGGAGACTGTTAGCTTTTATAAATATTGTTGATATTTTTTATTGTTTGTTTCAAAAAAAAACTTTTTTTATTAGAATGTTCAAAGTACACCTCCAAAGTTTGCATTTCCTCCAAATCCATCAGTTTTGTCTCCACATCCTGTGATTCCAAGCTATTCATGGCCAGGGTAATTTTATTTATTGAGTTGTATCGTCATAAAGATGTGTTCTTATATTGTGTTAATCGTTGTTTTCTAATGTTCTAGTATCCATGACTTAAGTTATATACTCCAAATTTCATTGCCTAACTTTAACTTTTTTTTTGGACCTTTTTATTCAATGTTGTCTATTTTTAACCACATCTTCTATAGCTTGTTTAGATGAGCATTTGTTCACTATTTTTGCTTATCTTCATAGCATACTGCGCTTTTAGAAAAAGAAAAAAAAAATGAAGAATAATGAAAGAAAAGATTGCTGCCCCATGCCAAACCCTCAGTCAATGTAGCAACACTCTGCTGCAAGTCAGGATATTTGTCAGTCAATGTATGTACTGAAGCCTCCGGCAGCAGGCTGTTTCATTGTGACATCAGAGTACTCATCTAAACTAGCAATTTAAGTAATATATATATATATATATATATATATATATATATATATATATATATATATATATATATATATATATATATATATATATATATATATATATATATATATATATATGTATATTTTATATATATATGTATATTTTATATATATATATATATATATATATATATATATATATATATATATATATATATATATATATATATACATATACATGAGTTTCAAATGTTTACATTCTTGTTTTCAAAAAAAGATGCTTGCAAACACTTGTAGGTAGAAAAACAAATAATCGGAATTTTTCCAGTAAAAACATTTAGATATTTGTATGTTTATTTACTCACTGATTCTTATTTACCCACTGATTCACTGATTTAACAAGAAATAAATTATTATAACTCGTTTTTGTGCAGTTGGTTACTCAAACATATTTAGAAATGAATGTGGATTGAAGTTTTATAAATTTCCATCAGGAAAATCGCCTTTTGAGAAAAGAAGACGTATAGACTGGATTAAAGCTATTAATCATAAGTATTGGGGCAGTTAGGAAAGTGTAAAAGTTAGTAAAGAATGAGTATGCAGTGCAAATTTTGTATCAGGTACGTTCTTTGATGAATGTTGTTAGCTAATAAAACTATATGTGTAGTAATACGTTGAACAAGTTTCTTTAAATTAGTAATTTAATTAAATTAATTTAATTAAATAACGTCAATTGTAAAAAGAACTTATTATATTTCAGGAAAACGTTCTAATGACACATCTGACATTGACTGCAGTCCATCTGTATTTAATCACCTTGGAGCTGCTCTGATTTCTAGTTTGACTAAAAAAAGGAAGAGAAAAGATTACTATAAAGATTTATGTAAAAAACAATTTTTCAAAAAATCAATACTGCCATCTAGCCAATCGAATGATATAGAGCTCGATAACTATAACCATAATATAAATATTGACATAAATCCACCAAATGACAAGTCAGCTATTTCTAAATTTTTTCAGCATGACACTTATAAAGCAGAAGTAGCAACTCTTAACTTTCAGTTAATTCAATACAAAAATGAATTGAATAAGAAATTTAACTAGACCATAATGAATATATTTCATACTGAACTAATAAGGAGTAGCCATCTTATATGTTTTAAAAAAAAGTTTAAAGACTGTGTCTGTATTATTAATTGTACCAAAGTATTTATTGAAAGACCAAATAGTTTGATTTTACGATCACAAACTTGGTCTAATTATAAACATAACAATACCATTAAATATCTTATTGGTATTACACCACCTGGGGTAGTTAGTTTTCAAACAGAAAGATAACGTTTGAGTTAAACTTTTGTCAGAAGCTTAATCCTGGCAACTTTGTTTTTGCTGACAGAGGATTCAAGATTAAAGACAAACTAAATGCTGTTGAGGCAACGTTGAAAATTCCAGCATTTACGAAAGGTAAACAACAATTATCTGGATGGGAAGTGGAAACATCTAAACAGATATCTAATTTTGGCATACATGTGGAATGAGAGATTGGTCAAATAAAAAAGTTTTGCATTATTCATATGACTGTGCCAATCACTCAAGTGGATTTATTACATGATGTTATGATTGTTTTTTACGCTCTTGTAAATCTCGTGTAAATCAGAAAAGATAAGTGTAGTTACTTGATTAATGTAAATGTAAAAACAAATTTACAGAGAAATAATTCTTACAGTTTTAAAATCTAATAACATATTAAAGGAGAGTAATTTTTGTTATTGTTTATTGCTTGGTTTCACATTCTTTGCAAAACCATTTAGTACTTTCTGGAGCTCTTTTTAGTCCAACACAAGTGTAATGAAACCATTCCTATTTGCAGTTAGCGAAATTGCATGGTATCATTTTTCTAAAACTTGGTCTTTGACAAACACAGTAAACTTTCCTACTATGTATTGTCAATTTATCAATCATTTTGAGAATAAGATCTTTTTTAATTGGTAAAATGAAACTTTGTTCACCTTTTAACTGAAGGGGAGAATACAAGAAAATCAGCCTTAGTTTACTAATTGTTAACTATTTAAAAAATTAAGTGTTATTGTTGACTTCTAAAAACAAAATATATTTAAAAAGAATAGAAAAGTTGCTAGAGCAACTTTTAAATTTAAATGAGGTAAAACAGAAACACAAGAAGCATATTAAAGTTCTTGTGTATTTATTTTTTCTACCTACAAGTATGCATGCGCATGTTGTTTATAAAAAGATGTGACGTTGCACGAAAACTCATATATATATAGCTTTCGGCAATAATGACCTAACTCCTGACCTCAAAGTGTTAGAGGTCGGCAAAAAATTGCGACCTCGTTTCAATGTTTTATGGTAAGATTTGTATCAATTTTTTTTTGTCAACCTGATGCTAACCTCTAAAGAATTGAGATCGGCAAATAATTCCCAACCTCATTTTTCCTAATTCTGAGGGCTATATATATATATATATATATATATATATATATATATATATATATATATATATATATATATATATATATATATATATATATATATATATATATATATAATTGTTGATGAAACACAGTGTAAAATGAAAAAAATTTTTGTTAAGTGATTTTCTACTAATTTATAATTGCTCTGTTCTTTTAAGAACATTGAGCACTATTTTTTGTAGAATACATTTTTTTTTAAATTGTTTAAATATATATATATATATATATATATATATATATATATATATATATATATATATATATATATATATATATATATATATATATATATATATATATATATATATATATACACACACACACATGGTGTTAGCCACCAGGAATATATTTGTTTACCTCGTTTTCCTAATTATTAGAAGTTTGTGATATTTAGAATATTTATTTTTGTATAAAATATTGGGAATTTTTATTGATATTGTCCTATTACTTCACAAAAAAAAAATCATTGAATTTTCAGAGTTTTTACCTTATTGGGTTACACAGTGCCATTAGGTTGGCTAACACTCTGATATTAAGAGTTAGTGATATATAAATGTGTGTGTATATATATATATATATATATATATATATATATATATATATATATATATATATATATATATATATATATATATATATATATATATATATATATATGATTAAAATATGATTATTTTTTATTTATTTATGTATTTTTATACATCAATCAAAAAAAAAAAACATAAAAAAATAAAAAAACAGTATAAATAATTTTAATAAACATTAAAAAAAAGATTTTTTTTTTTAATTCTCTTAATATAAAAAGTTTCAGTTCGAACCTTGTCAAACCAACGCTACAATATATATATATTCCATATATAATAGACTTTCATTTATGATCTATTGATTCAATCATCTATTGATTTAATGATTGTTTATTGATTTAATCAATTATATCATTTTATTAGTTCATTAATTCATTAGTTTATTGATTTAATCAATAGTATCATTATCTATTGATTTAACTATTGTTTTTTAATATTCCTTCGATGTTTTATATATTGTTTTATTTTTTTATTATTTTTTAATTTTTTAATTTGTTTATTGTTTTTTAAATTAATCATAATTTTTAGATCGTCGCCTTCTCAAAATAAAAAAAGACCAAATGATGAAGTAGATGACCAATTTGAAAGGTTATATTTTATATTGCTTTGTGTTAATTTAACAAATTTTTTTTTATTATTCTTGCTATTATATTTATTTAGTAAGCGACGTCGTATACCAAATCGTTGTGGAGTGGAAAAAGGTGGTAAAGGTCTACGACATTTTTCAATGAAAGTATGTGAAAAGGTGCAGAAGAAAGGAATTACATCTTATAATGAAGTATGTTTATTTAAATTGTCTTAAAAATATTTGCCAAAAGCAAGTTTTTTATTTTAAAATTTTTTAATATTAATAGTATGGTTTTTAGTTAAGTAAGATTTTCAGTATAGCAAGATTTTTTCCAAATTAAAAAAAAAATAAACCAACTTCATGTTGTATTCATGATGTAGCATGATTGAAAAATGCATGTTATGTGTCTTCATACCAACATGGTAAACTGTTTTGCATTTAATAAATTTTAAAACTTAAACTTTAAAACTTTCAAAATAAAATACAACTCTATCAGTTTTTTTGAATTCTTGTAATTTCAATGACCTTTGAATTCTGTCAGTAATTTTTCTTAAAAACTGACAAATTTTTATTTTTGACTTTGAATTTTATTTTTATTTTGGATTTGAATTTTTTTTCTTAATTTGAACTTTATTATTCGGTTTAAAATTTCTGAAATAACCAAAAGTGTTATATTTATGTTATTAATCATTTTAAATATTATATTTATGTTATTAATCATTTTAAATGTTTTGCAATCAGATAAATTATTTAATAGGTTGCAGATGAATTAGTTCAAGAGTTTAGCGAACAATCGTCACGTAATCTTCTCTCAAACATTGATCAGGTATAATAGATTGTTTTGTTGTTGTTAAAATCAACAGATATTTAAAGATTTTTTTATTTTGCAGAGTTCATAGTTAAACTAATGAACATAAGTTTTTGATTTCATAATTTGAAATAAACAGTATTTAAATGCCTTTTTTTTATCATTAATTTTTTTTTTCATATTTTTTTCATTTTAACATGCTTTTTAAAGAATGTCCTTGTTTTAATAATTATCTATATGTGAATATATTTACATTAAATAAGGGTTAAACAAAAAATACAGTAAAAGCTTCTATTAGAAGATGTTTGTTGCATATTGTACTAAAAATAGAAATTACGTATATTTATTTTTACATAAATATTCACTGACATCTGTAAAAGTATGGACAAAGTTTAGCTTTAACTTGATTGATCCAAAAATTTCTAATGTCTAATTGCATAGTAAGCCTCTACATTTGTATTTCTAGCATTAAACATTATATACAGCTACAACATGTATAATGTACATAATTACAAATCAAAATTTTAAATCTAGTTACAAAGAAAGAACATCAAACATCTAGAAATAATAACATAAATAAGCGAAACCAAAAACATCAATAAACTAATAAAATAATGAACTAATGAAATGATGATATTATTGATTAAATCAATAAACTAATTAAATAAAATAATGATAATTGATTAAATCAATAAACAATGATTAAATCAATAGATCATTAAATCACTAGTTCATAAATGAAAGTCTATTATATATGGAATATATATATATATATATATATATATATATATATATATATATATATATATATATATATATATATATATATATATATATATATATATATATATATATATATATTGCCGCATTGGTTTGACAAGGTTCGAACTGAAACTTTTTATATTAGAAGAATTTTAAAAAAATCTTTTTTTTTTCTAATTTTTAATATAATTATTTATATTGTTTATGTATTTTTTTTTTTTTTTTTTTTTTTTTTTGATTGATGAATAAAAATACATGAATAAAAAAAAAATCATTTTTTTATTTAGACATTGAAAAAAAAGCGAAAAAGATTTATTTGTTATTCTCCTAATATAAAATTTTTATGATAATTTTGATAAATAAGTTAAAATTTTTTCAAAATGATTATAATTTTTGAAATTTTTGTATAATTTTGCTTCATTTGAGTACCAGGTTGACATGTTTTTGAAATTTTTTTTTTTGAAAATATTAGGGATCCATTAAATATTCGAGGGTCTTGAGAGACCCCTTAAAATATTTTTTATTCAAAAAAATTTTAAACCTAGTTTCTTTGTATTAGATAGAACACATTTAGGGGGTAGGAGCAGGTTTTTTTAAAAAAGTTTTTTTAAGGGCCACCCTAATATATATATATATATATATATATATATATATATATATATATATATATATATATATATATATATATATATATATATATTGTCTTTATTGATGAAACACAGTATTAAATAAAAAAAAATTTTTCTAAGTGATTTTCTACTACTTTATTATTGCTCTGTTCTTTTAAGAACATTGAGCACTCTATTTTGTTGAATACATGTTAAAATTGTTTAAATATATATATATATATATATATATATATATATATATATATATATATATATATATATATATATATATATATATATATATATATATATATATATATATATCTTTATGTATTTATGTATGTATGTAAATAAAGAAATAAATTTTCCATATATATTTTTAAGTAAATACTTTCTGGTTTTTAAAAATATGTTTTACAATTTTCTTTAATGTAAAGAACTTACCAAGACTTTTTTGCCTATGTAAACCCTTAAAAATGCAATATTCAAATTAAAGTTTTGTTTTTATATCTTATACTTGTTTTTATATCTTACACTTATGTAAATATTTTTATTTAATTTTTAATTTCATTGACTAAATAAGTTAATATTTATAAAAGGAAAAGTATGAAAAACTTTTAAAACTGTTTTTCTCAAATACCTTACCCATCCTTAGATAAATCATTTTTATAAAATTTAATTATTTTTCTTTCTACATCTTAAGACATAAAAAGGTGCTAGCTTAAAATGATTTATTTACTAACAATTTACTAAAATGAATTTTATAAATGTGCAATATCTTCAATTGCTTTTGTGTTTAACTAACAATAAAAAACAAAAATAATTTAGACGTATGATCAGAAGAATATTCGTCGAAGAGTTTATGATGCGCTCAATGTGTTAATGGCCATGAACATTATTTCTAAAGAAAAGAAAGAAATTAAATGGGTTGGTTTGCCTACCAATTCTGCTCAAGAGTGTAAACATTTAGAGGTATATATACATTTTTTTGTAAAACTATGTATATAACAAACATGTATATATATATATATATATATATATATATATATATATATATATATATATATATATATATATATATATATATATATATATATACACACATATATACATATACATATATATATATACATATATACATATATATATATATATATATGTATATATATATATATATATATACACACACACACACACACACACACACACACACACACATACACAATGGATAAAATGACTGAAAGAATCTATCGTGCATTAGATAAAGGTGTCAAGGGCTATTGCTTTTGACATATCTAAAGCTTGCGCATTGCTCTGTTGGAGAAAAAGTTTCTTTATTAGTATTTACAAGATTTATTTATTTGTGCTGACATAGTTTGAGATCATATTTGTTTTTAACATTTATTTTAAATCATATTAACAATATCACGATTGTGTTCAATTTTGTATTGCTGGATTAAATTCTGCAGCCTATGTTTATGTAATTTAGTCAAATTCACCATTTTTAGTTGTTTTTTGTAGGAAGTTTTTTAAGAGATGTTGTGAGTTTAGTTTGTTTATGTTGAATTTTATCAGTATCTTGTTTCAGATAGGGATTCAAAACTTATACTGCATACTTGAGATAAAGACATTGTGTTTAATTTAAAAACTATATTAACTTTTAAGTATTAAAAAATTGTTGAATTAAACTCAGCATTTGACTTCCTTTACAAATTTTTGTATTAATTTATGATTTCCATTTTAAATTTGAATGAACTCTAACTACAAGATCACTCAAGATGAATAGGTTACTAAAAAAATGTAATATTGATATTTATAAGAGTCATGTATTACGCATATGGTTTGAGTATTTTGTTTGAATGATCTTGCATTATCATAATTTTATTTTTTCAACCAGATTGATGGTTTCATAAAAAATTTTAAATCATGTTTGTAGCTTTATAGCTGTTTTTATGTTTTACTGTCATCTGCATTCAACTTATAGTGTTGTAGATTTTTTAGGTATTTTGTTGATAAAGATTAAGAATAAAAGATGCCCTAAAACCGAGTCTTGAAGCACATCATGTAACCAGTTATCAGTGATGTGCCTCAAGATTAGTGATACATGGGATCACTTGCTTTCTTTTATATAATAATAACTTGCTTTCTTTTCTTATGTAAAAACTAATCTTTTTTAAAAAAAATTTTTTTAATATTATTTTTTTCTAATATTATGTCTAATGTTTCCAACAATCTAGTGACACGTTTTTTTTCTTCCTAAATCCATGTTGATTTTTGTTTCATAATTTCCAATTAGATGATCTATCGCTATATTATGAATAATTGTTTCAATGATCTTAGATGGAATTGGTGATAAAGATATCAGTCTATAATTTAGTGTAACAATTTTATCCTTTTTTTAAACAAAAGGGAACATTAGCGCATTTCCTTAATTGAGGTAGTTTTTTTTCTTTCTATTAATGACTTTTGGTATAATACCAGCTACCAGTATTCTTATAGTTTTACACTTTTAATTCAAAAAGATTTTTTTGAATACAAAAGGACACCAAACATCATCACCACCAACACTAATAGTTTTATTAACATCAATTTTTTGCAGTTTCTTTTTAACTATAATACAAGTTCATTTAATAAAAATAATAGATAAAATAAATAAGTAAAAGAAAAGTTTAAATAAAGAATATATGTATGTATGTATGTACAGGGCTATTATAGGAAAAAAATTGGCTGCCTCGGAATTATTTATCAGATATATTGCTGTATATTGCAATTGTAGTATTTGCTGTAAAATATGTTTTTAAAAAAACTCCTTAATTTTTAATTTGTGCCGCACCCAAATACTAAGGGTGCACCGATGCACCAGCCTCTTCATCAGTCTTGGTAACCATCGGCCAATACCAATTGTTCAAAAAAGTCAGATTTTTTAACTTTATGTTTCTATATTGTATAAAAAAATATAGTTATATTTTTTTTATACAATATAGAAACACAAAATTAAAAAGACTCATTTTTCAAAACAATCGGCATCAGCTTTGATAACCATCGGTCAATGCCGATTGTTTTGAAAAATGAGTCTTTTTAATTTTTTGTTTTATATTGTATAAAAAAATATAGTTATTATATTTTTTGTATAAAAAAATATAGTTATTATATTTTTTTATACAATGTAGAAACAAAAAAATTAGAAAATCTGATTTTTTTAAACAATCGGCACCAGCCGATGGTTACCATGGCCGATGCATTGTTGCACCGCTACCAAATACGCTCGACACTGTCGAAAACAGTCTAGAATAGCCCCTGATGTATGTATGTATATGTGTGTATATATATATATATATATATATATATATATATATATATATATATATATATATATATATATATATATATATATATATATATATATATTAATGAAGAAAAAACAACTTTTTCTATGGTACTTTAAGTTTCATGCCTATACAGCAATCATCAGCCATTGAATGTGTGTGTGTGTGTAAATATAAGTATCTATGTATATATATATATATATATATATATATATATATATATATATATATATATATATATATATATATATATATATATATTATATATATTATATATATTGTAATTTAAAAAATATATATATTGTATATATTGTAAATGAATAAAAATTGTTTTAAAGGACCAAAAACGTGAGCGTATTGAAAGAATCAAACAGAAACAGCAACAGTTAAAAGAATTGATAGTTCAGGTTATTTAATAAAACACATTACTGCAGATTTTTTAATTTAAAGTTAATTGTTTCGTTTTCTGAAATATTGTTTTTACTTTAACATTATTTTTATTTATATAGCAAATAGCTTTTAAAAATCTTGTTGAACGAAATAAACGTTTAGAAAAGTTAAATGGTCCACCACAACCTAATGCATGCATTCATTTGCCGTTTATAATTGTAAATACAAGCAAGAAAACCACTATAGACTGCAGTATCTCTAGTGACAAGTAATTGAATATTATTTAAGTTTTTAAATAATGACTTTCTTAATTAGTGCTTCAATTTAAATTTTTTTTTTGAATCAAAATATGTTAAATATTATATAACAATATCAATTTCTTATTTATTTGATTTTTTGAGATTATTTATTAAAGTTGTTATCTATACTTCTAACTTCCTTTTTATAAAACCTCTTTTGTAAACCTGAAACTTCAAAACATATTTAATTTCAGGAAATAAGTTGATGAATTTTTTAATCTCAGATTTTAATCCAATTTATAGAGCTTTTATGCATGAATTTGTCATTTATAAAGTTTTTTGTTCCAGACGCGTAATTACCTAAAAAGTTCAAATTTTAGAAAAGTTAGAAAAATGTAAAAGAATTTAAAAATGAAAATTTTAAGAGCAGATTTTTTATTTTGAGTTTTTTTTAAATGGCAAAATACTTATATTACTTAAATATGACAAATAATGATGTTGCTAATCTAAAAAAAATACCTGTATAAACTGTTAAAATAGATTATGTAATTTATTAATGTAATAAATTACATTGCATGTAATTTATTACATTAATAAATTACATAATCTGTAATGTAATAAATTACATTACAGATTATGTAATTTATTAATTACATAATCTGTAATGTAATAAATTACAGTAATTAATGTAATTAAAATTACATAATCTGTAATGTAATAAATTACATTACAGATTATGTAATTTATTAATTACATAATCTGTAATGTAATAAATTACAGTAATTAATGTAATTAAAATTACATAATCTGTAATGTAATAAATTACATTACAGATTATGTAATTTATTAATTACATAATCTGTAATGTAATAAATTACAGTAATTAATGTAATTAAAATTACATAATCTGTAATGTAATAAATTACATTACAGATTATGTAATTTTAATTACATTAATTACTGTAATTTATTACATTACAGATTATGTAATTTTAATTACATTAATTACTGTAATTTATTACATTACAGATTATGTAATTTTAATTACATTAATTACATTAATTATTAATTTATTAATAATTCATTTAGATCTGAGTATTTATTCAATTTTAATGAAGCCTTCGAAATTCGTGATGATATAGAAGTATTAAAACGAATGGGGCTCTCATTTGGTTTAGATAAAGGGGAATGTAGTGAGAAGAATTTAAACACAGCTAAAAGTATGGTTCCAAAAGCTATAGCACCTTATGTTAATCGTAAGTTTATCATTTTTTTTAATAAATAGTTTTCCTGTATGCATTTTAATTAATTTTACATAAATTAAACATGAATAAATATAAAAGTGATTTTGTCAGGGAAAAGGGTTAAAAGTTAACATAGGATCTTGTTTACTAGTTTATATCATTGATAACAAAGTAAACAAAGATTTTGTGGGAGTCATAAATTATATACATCACATCGACTACTTATTTACTTAGTAAACACCTGATGTGATGTAGATGAAACAATACTCAATTATTTATACATTAATATTAAATAACAAAAAATGAATTTTTGCATCAATTGTACTTTTAAAAACAAAGATTTGTCTTTTTTTTAACAGAGTCTAATGACAGTTTTGCTTTATTTGTGCTTAAAAAGTTTTTTTTAGTAACTTTGTTTTTTGATGTCCCATAAAAGAGCACAAAAAAGCATTAATAAGCTGTTTTGTTTTGTTTTTATTTAGAAATGGCAAATGGAAGTTATGGTAACATAGCTCTTATTGATAGTTTCCGGTCAGTATATTGTTTAATTAATTTTTTTGTAACTATGTTAAACTGTTATTTATGATAGGTTACCTTGTTTATACAATTAATTGAAGATATGAGTTATTTACTTTGATTTCTTGTAATTGGTGCAGATAAATATTACTTGTAGAGAGATGATCTTGAGTTTACTTATCTGGTTTATCAGTAATTTTAAACTAGTGTTAAATACACAAAGTTTGTACTGCGATAATCTGGAAATCATAAAAAACATCACACAAAAATGATACATTCTTACATTTAATGATTTTTTTTATTTTTTTAAAAGTTTCGTTTACATATTCATTATATCTTTAAAATATCATAAAAAGAAAAGGCCAAATTGTAAAAAGTTCTTACAGGAGTAGTTGGAAAATCCATAATTGCCTAGATATACAGATGCCATATAACTTTGAATTACATAATTTTTTTTTTTGCATGATGTCACCTTACAATAAAATAATTAAAAAAAAACTATTGATAGATAGTCTGCTAGTGGAAAAAATATTAGATTAGGCTAAAAAATAAAATCATTGGTATAAATCAAGAAAAAGTTAAAGATTAGGACTTGTACAGGTTATGTGAACTAAAAAGTACCAAGCTGTAATGATGAGCAGGATTCATGAGCTCAAACAAGTTGAGTTGCGATATCCTAGTCAATTAAAAATCAAGTGTATTGTTGATAATAAGGCATCTTGCACTTTTTAACTTTTGTTAAAGTAAGGGATTTTTTTAGCCTTTAGGTCCTTAAATATAATAAGACGCAGAATTATTTCTAAATTCCTAATGTTCATTTGACAGATCAACATGAATTCATAGACCTTTCCCCATAAAGTAATGATACAAACAACCTACAAAGCAGCTTCATGCAAGTTTAAAAAGAAGCATCTGTGTTCAGGGAGCTTGACTTTCCATTTCTTGATTATTTTTGATTTCCAGAATTTGGTTAATGGCAAGTTCCCTTTTTATTTTGACTGCAAGGTAATATTTTTCCATAGTTTTCAATAACTTTCTATACATTTTCATCTTGATGTCTGGATGAGAATAAGATAGTTCAATTGTTACTGTGCCAACTACACTTCACTTTGATTTGAAAAAAAATAGGGTAGAAGAATCAAAATCAGTTAGCTTAAAAGTATTTTTAATGCAATTCAAAGAAGCCAGTAAATCATTTCATTTTCAATATTTTCAGCAGACTTAATCTTTGTTTAAATGATGAATGATTGATCAATGTAAGTGTAGTGATCTTACTTTTTAACTTATAAACTTTATTTGAGTACGTTATTAACTAACTCACTGATATAACCTTATTTTCGGCTCTATATAAATTTCTTTTTGTCTAGTAATACAAAAGAGCTTTTTTTGGTATAGTTTTACCAAAATTGTTTACTTAATATAGCAATAAAATATAGCAAAGATAGGTCTACACTAAAGTCCACATGTTGCAAGTTCATGGCCAAGAATTTCGAGACTGAAGTCAAGGATATTTTTCAAGGTTATGTTGCAGGAAAAGATTAAGCCTAAGGGCGGAATTTGATCAAGTCGGAATATAATTAGAAATAGATATATATGAAAAGCCAAAAACAAAAATGTAATATGAAATACATAAAAGTAATAATTTTAAATTGTTATACACATAAATAACGAGTTAAAAAAATTACACAAAAATGAAAAAATAAAAATAGTTACACCAAAATAAAGAATTAAAGATATTTTGATAGTTGTCTTCAGCATCAAGCTCAATTATATAGCCAACAGTTTACATTTTGGAAACATCAAAGTTTTAAGTAATGAGCCAGACATACAGTCCTTATGAGGTTGCATTATCTAATAAATAATTTGAGAATGGATATGTTCATCAAGAGCTCATATGGCTGAAAAAAAAGCTTGTCTAATACAGTTTTGACCAAATCTCTTTAAAACCTTGAAGCAATTGCAGCAACAGCAGTGTTTTAGAGTTGGTAGTTCAAAAGGTATAAAGTCGTATCCTGTTAATGTAATAGTTTTTGTTATTAGTCGTATCCTGTTAATGTAATTTTTTGTTTTTATTATTTTTATTATGAATTATTTAATTTTATTAATATAGTATTATTATATTTATTTTATTAATATAGTATGATTATATTACATTAAAATGCGACAGGAAATAATAAAACAATCTATGAAATGAAAAAATTAGGTTTTTGAACAATTAGTTTTCTATTTTTGCAAAAGATGACTTTTTTTTAATGTGATGAAAAATTTGCTGAATTTTGAGCACGGAGGTATCGTATTATAAGTAATTAAATGTGAACTTTAAAGAGTGCTAGAAAAAGCCTCTTTACATTTGGCATAAATTTATTTCATTGTTCTAGCATTATTTGAAGTTCATTGCACTACTCCTTTACCACAGTTAAAGCTGTTTATTTTCAAAATCTTTGTCTTATTGAAAAAATATATATATTATTTTTTGTATCGCAAATGATCTAATAGATCATCTGTAATACAAACAATCAAAAAATTATGGTTGGGGATTGTCCGTAATTTACGAAACGTTAAATTTCACAATCAACAAAACAAAAAAGATCAAAAGTTTTTCCTCACAGAGCCTTAAGTTAAATAAAAAATCAAAATAGTGCATTATATTTAATGAAAATCGCCTCGTAAAAGAGTCTAAGATCTTTTTTTAAAAAAATTGTTGCGTAATTTATGGACGATCCATAACAATGGAATTCCGCATCGTTCTTGTTTAAAAATAAGTTATGCGGACTTTGATGGAGAACATTGTTATTAAGGTGAACATTTGGTCAAGGTAAAACTAAAACATTAGTTTTTTCTTATTACTCAAGTCATATAGTTATAATAAATATAGCTCTTGTTTCATTTGTTTCATGTTTTTTAATTTCTCTATTATCGCGGTACACTCTTTGGATTTTATTAACTATGACTCGTTAACTAATCAATGTTATGTATATATTTAGTAATATTTTGTTGTGTATTTAAGAACGGGACTTAAATCCCCTTTTGCAACACCTGTAACGAACAGTAAGGAATCTCCTGGTCCATCAACTCGAAAATCGTCACGTAAAAGTACTACATCTACAGCTTCAGTCAATAAAAAAACTATTATAAAAACAGAATACGCATCTTCTCCATCTGCTACGTCAGAATATGATAGTGATAATGACGGGGATGATGAACATAGTACGCTGATGGAGTAATTAGGTTTTTTAAAATTTATTTTAAAGCTTTTAACTCCCTGGAGTTTTTGCGCACCGTTCTTGCTTCAATAAGCTTGTGGCTAGTGTTTTCTATTGTGGATAGTGTTCTCTATTGTAGTAGCATTCGTCCCGAGTATGTCAGCCTAAACGCAAGAAACACTGTAGGATGGCATCAGCTACGATCTCGATAAACAATCTTTAATAAGATTCTTACCCTTGAATAGTTTTTACCGTTTTCGTATTTTGATTATTAGAACTCTACCATATTACTTATTTCGAACTACATTATATTAATACGTATCAGCTACCCGATAAAGATGAAGCACTAATGTTAAGAAGTTTTATAGGTTTTTGTTCAGGGTTTATTGTTATTTATACATTATACACAAATATATAGCAGTGTTATAAATGATATTCGTCTATATATACCTTATTAGACTTAATTAAGTCGGACAATCGTGACTAAGTTTTTAACAAGTGGGTAAGAAATTATTATTGCAATCTTGTAAATGGTCCCATTTATTTACCTTGTTATTATAGAAAATTTCACTAAACTAAAAGTTTTGTCCGACTTTATAAGAGCTATTTTTCTTCTTTCAGTTTGCGATTGGTTTTATAGTAAAAATGTAAAAAAAAAATTTACATAGGTTTAATAAATTTTATATTAAATAACATGTTTTAATATTTAAAGCAAAAAAATGCAAATAGTAGCCAAAAAAAAAATAAAAGTCAGATGAAACTTTAACTTTTAGGGAAAATAATTTAAAGAAATCTATTTAAGGTAAAAAAGAGTTGAAAATTTACGAAATTTTTCCTGGAAATTTTTATTGCAATAAACTTATAGTTATTATATAGTTTTATTAAATTCATTTCTTTGTTTCAAAAATCATCGAAGTATTTGGGTATTCTTTGAATATTCCAACAAAAAATCTATAACAATAAAAACCCTTTAACTAAAAATGCACATTTTTTAGTCAAATTTTTATAGTCAATTTAAGAAGCGTACGTTTTTTTTTAAAAAGCAATAAGACGTCCAATTTGTTTGTGTTACTTTTATTACTTTTGTAAAACGACAAAAAGTAGAAGTTTTCCACGTTAGCTTGTCTTTTGAGCTTGTGTAAAACATATTTCTAGGTTTTACTTCTCTCAACTACAATATAAAATATTCACTAAATACAAAGAACAAAAAGCTTTTTAGATTAATAAGTTTTGTGTATTATTTTTGTGGAGTGTTTTTTTTTATGTGTAAAGATATTTTTGACAAATTTAGTCGGGTATTTGACACAATTCAGTCAGGTGAATTATATTTTTTAATGATCTTTTTTTTTAATTCATTTTAAAGAAACAGTCGGTACTTTTACGGATTTACCCCACTTCCCTCCTCCCCCCTCATTTTTTAACTTACTGATTTATAGTCAAAAGAGCCCTTGCAAAGTTGTGGCGAGTAAGACTCGGGTTTTAAAAGCACTTATTTAAACATATACGAGCATAAACATATACAAACAGCGGTGGAATTTATGCCCTTGAAATAATTAGTTCTTTTTTTTTATTGCTAACTATATTTTTAAATTGTTCAAAAAAGTTTCTTTACTTTTTTTCTTTTATTAATCAATGACGTCTTTAAATCAAGAAAAAATTGTAAGATATTGTAAATATTCAATCAAATCTTTTTATATATAATTTTAGAGTTTTCAGTAACTTTTAGGCCAATTTAGTAGATATTGAAAAATGCCCCATCACTTTTAGGGATGGGGGTGCGCACTATGTTAAGCCTTAAACAAAGCTTGCCGTTAATTAAAAAATAACTTTTTTTTTAATTTCTGGGAAATTTTCAACCCTAATATATATATATATATATATATATATATATATATATATATATATATATATATATATGTATATATATATAAATATATATTGTATATATTTATATATATAAACAGACATGTAATTAATTATTATATATAAATAATTATTATATATAAATAGACATGTAAATATATATTTACTTTTAATTATTTAAATATAGGACAAAACTCAGAAATATTTTGTTTTATTTTCTTAAGTATCTTTCATACTATCTGAAATACAATATCTTCTAGTATTGTGTTAAAATTCAGCTATCTGAATGTCTATTTCACATGTTATTCCACATGTATTCCACATGTTATTAAAATAAACTGAAAAAAGCAATAAGTTAGCAACTAATTCTTTATAAGATGATATGGCGGTGGTGTATTAATTCACAGTGTCTGATGAGAGTCAATGCTAAGACACAAGAGTTAGCTTAGTGAATTTCAATTAAAAAATGGCTAAAATAAATCATAGTTTTAATCATACGTGAATCGAGTACACTTCCGCCAATATAGTTTTTAGTAAAATTTTAATTTTGTTAGGGTTATGGGTTTAAAAAAGTCACGTGACACCGACTGTTTATTAAACCTTGTTTAGAAAGCTTAAGTTTTTATAAAGCAACGTTTTTATGTGCAACTTTTACTTTTTGTTTGTTGTTACAAACACAGTTTAACACTAACAAAATCGGCACAAATATGCCAATCGTAAAACGATCTTTGCAAATTATTACACATGAATGGCATCACCGGCGTGGTAGTGCCGACCATAATCCAATGATAACCATGCATGAACCATGCATAAACAGTTGCTGGGAATCTGTATGCTAGCAGCATTATTAATAAATAGAATTTAATCTATGCTTGAGTAACTGAACATTCAACTGTTTCAAAACAGTTTTTTTGATATGCTTTGTTTAAGTAAACTAACGTTTAACAGCTTTAAAAAGCAAGTTAAATTTTCTTTTCATATTATTTTTTTGTTTGTTTGTTTTTTTTGAAACATTTAGGCGATTTTTATTGTCTAATGAGTCTGTTTAGCAAATAAAATTTCAATGGAAATTCAACATGACACGAACAACTCTATTTAACTGTATAAATTAAATAGAGAAATTAAGACATAAATTAAAATTGAGGAATAAGACTGATATATTGTCACCATTATCTTCTCCTAATTACCTGCTTTAACACTGAACATCTCTTCAAGATAATATAACTATTAAACTAAAACTTTTTCTTTTGTAATTAATCACTTCTTTTCTCTCAGGCATTTACGGTTAAATATGTTCCACTTGTGACTAGACTTACTTGTTCTAGTTGCAAACCTTATATACAGAATTTTTCCAAAAATTAATAAACGTCCCCTCACCCCTCCTTTATTAAATACGTGATCAGATTCAATATTTTTGTTAATCTTGTTAAATAGCTTGCTTTATTTAATTTTAAATTACATTTACTTTTTCAGTAAACAAATCCTTGATTTCAGAACCAATTTTTCAGGGGAATTTTTTGGTTCCTTGTCTTCTTATTGCTATCACTATTCTCAAAAAAGATTCAAAAATCCTCTTCCACCTAATTAACACTTTCTAAGCCAGGGTTTGAGAAATCGCTCTAATAAAAGCTTTGACCTCGTCGCCTACATAACCGTCAACAATAGATTTATCTAATCTTATTTATTTTCAACAATAGATTTTCTAAAACATATTCATAACATTTGTTCCGAAAGCAATATAATACTTTTAGCATTTTGTGGGCCATTCATTTGTTAAAGTCCAAGAACTGATAGCTTTTAATTGAAATCTTTCTAAAATCAAGTTTTAAAATTTTTTTATATAATTTAACTTATTTCGAAAAATTCAAAAAGTTCAAATAATCTGTTATTTTAAAATACAAATATATAATTAGTATCAATAAATAAAGTATGTGGACATAATAAATTAAATATATAAAAATTTTGTTCTAAAAGTATAACCAATAAAGGTTTTCCTAAACTCTGAGAAATAACATAGACTCATAACAGAACTTGTCATTGTACCACAATATAAATAAATAATAACATATTCGCACTTTTAGTATATATATATATATATATATATATATATATATATATATATAATATATATATATATATATATATATATATATATATATATATATATATATATATATATATATATATATATATATATATATATATATATATATATATATATATATATATATATATATATATATATATATATATATATATATATATATATATATATATATATATATATATATATATATATATATATATATATATATATATATATTCCCCTATATATAGTTTTTTCGTTAAAAAAATTATATACAATTGGAACTAGTTACGCAAAACTATACAGAAAAAATACACAAAAAAACTATTGACACAAGCGCGTGTATCTAATCTTCAGGTTTGTGGTTGCTTAATAGAAATTTATTTTTGTGACGACATTTGGAAATCAATTCTGTTTTTTTATTTTTTTTATTTCATATGAAGTAAACATCTTTTGTTATGTTGTTTTAAGCTTCATAATTGAAGTTAATTCAGGTGTTTCTTTGAGTTTCTCCATAGTAACCATATATAATTTGAGAGAATGGTTTCATTTAAAAGTTTTTAATTTTTAAATGACTGCTTATGGTTCGCATTTTTCTTTTTTTACACGCCTTCTGATAAACCAATGTAAGCTTTGTTGGGCGTGTTGAGAAAGATGTTATTTATTTTTAAAATTATATTTGTTGCTCTACATTATTTATTCAGCGAACAGATTTATTTTTGTTTGCAATTACTAGGTAAATTTTCATACGTGCTTTTTGAATTTATTTTTGTTGATGTGACTTTTAATGATTTTTGAAATGTTATTTTAGCAGCTGTAGCTAACTTTTGTGGCAATTCGATTGAATAGCTTATGCAATGGGTTTGAAGGTGGGAAAAGGCTTATCTATTAATTGCAAAAAGATTTGGCCAACATTGGTAAAGACGATTTTATTGTAGGGTGGGTTAAACCAATTTCTAATAGGGCATTATGATTAAAAATAATACTTAAATAAATTTCTGAAAGGCAATAATAATAAAAATAAGTTTTGTTGTATATAACTTGACTGCCATCTGGCGAATACAGATTTATATATAATTATTTATTTAATGCTTTTAATAAGTTCAAAAAAAAAAAAAAAAAGAAAAAGAACGAATCTCACTTACCGCTACGTCATAAATCCTACTACTCCGCCACCGTTCTAAAAATCGCATATCTTATGGATGGCTTCTTAAATGTTTGCATTTTAAGACCAAAAGTTATGTTATAACAGGCCTTGTTAGCGTTTGCGTTACGCAGCTTGCATTTTACGAAAATGCAATTTTTAGTTTAACATTAAGAGAAAACATTTTTATTTTGGTATATTTAAACTATCATTTAACATTGTTTATGTGGGGTTTATTTAAAAAAAATATAAAGTTATAAAAAAAAAAATAAGCATTTAATTGCAACCAGGGGCGTCGAGAGCCTTTAGGCCGCATAGTGCCTCATAAACATTAAAAAAAAAAAACCAAAAATGTATTTGATAAAAAGTAATTTTTTAGCTTAAAAATTATTTAATCTATTTCTTTAAATAATAGGGTTATTGTTTTGATAAAAACTTTATTTTAAAAATTATTTATTTTGCTCTTAAATAACTTTTTCCCGGCAATAAATAAACTAGGATGGATAAAAAGGAAGGATAATTTATCCTTTTTTAATATAAACTTTTAGATCAATCAAAAGCCTTTAAAAAAAGGGAGAAAAAAAAGTAAATAACTTATTTTTGTTATTATATCTCTTGAAATATAAAAAATATTTTTTAAATACAAAAATTATTAAAAATAAAAAATAGTTTTAAAACTAGAAAATAGTTTTTTAAGTGGATTTACAAAAAATTTAAAATTTATATTTTAAAAAAGTTACCTACAAAAAACGTTCCATCTAGTTCCACCATAATTTTTGCATCAAAATGTCACTAATAGTATAGAAAATTATAATGGAAAATTTTAGCTGCATATTTGCACTTTATTGAGTAATGTTTGAAAGTGTGTCACGGATCTTAAAGTCCTTATTGCTAATTTCTATTTATTTTTAACCAATAACAAATACGTTCTAATTAAAGACATCTAGATTTTGTAATCGTGTTTGTAGGGGAGTTGACATGTGTTTGTAGGGGAGTTGACATGTGTTTGTAGGGGAGTTGGCCTTTCTTTTGAATTAACTAGTTAATCAAAGCTGTTTGTATAGGTAATGTATTACTTACCCTATTAAATTTAAAACTTGAGCTAGTAAACAGAAGTAAAGTAAAAAAAATCTTTTGTTGTGTATAAACTCTTATGAGCAGGATATAACTTCTCTTATGTATGTGATTCAATGGCGAGTATTTTTTTCAGAATTTTTGGATATAGTTTTTCAAAATTTTGAGAATTTTTCGATTATATTCAGAAGAGTCAAAGAAACCTCAAACAAGAAGACTTAAAAAGCCTTGAATAAAGAAATTCGCAAAGCTTGATTAAATCACAGTTCAAAAATTTCAAAAGTTAGGGTGATGAGAAATAAGTTCAACCACTTTCTAATTAGCTCGAACCCTATAGTATCTTCTACGAGCTTCAAGAACTACAAGACAGAAAATGGCGAACATTTAACGGCTGATGCTTTGCTTGTTACAAATTAATTAATAAATAAGTACTTTTTTTTTTTTGTTCTTTATTACAATATTTAATACAATATTTACAAATATAAGAAAAATTACATGCAAAGAAATCTTTAAAAAAAATAAAGAATAAAGATAAAGAACGCGGATACAAAGAAGACCATACAGGTCTTGTCACCGAGAACCGCTGTTGAAGAACTTTGAACTTAATTTAGATTTTAGAAAAAACACGAAAATAATAAGAATATGACTGCACTAGGTGCATCCATATGCTCTTCAAGGTTGTCCAAACGAGAAATAGTAGTCCCAAGGTGTGGTTTTAACCACGGATCTTACGTTTCTGTTAGGCAAGTGCGCTAACACTGCACCACAACTGCTTGTCGAGAAAGGAAATATGTTGGATAAAATTAAAAAAAAAAAAAAAGAATCAACAAGCAAGACAGAAAAAAACTAGAAAAAAAAAAGAGAGAAACTCTAACTAAAATTGGTGCAGAAAATCCTGGAGTTTGTGATGAAAACAAAAGATAAAACAGACCGACCATCCGTTTAAATTTATCAACCACTTTTCCTAAAAACCATTGTTGATATTGCATTACATGGACCAGCTGCACTTGAAAGACGACAAAGTGATATGTATCGCAGTATTAAAACACTAGACGAATTAACTAAGCAACTAAAGATGACGAATTAACTAAGCAAATAAAGATGGTTATCAGGTGAGTAGGAGCACCGTTTACACTCGACTAATGCCACAACGAAGTTCAACTTTGGAAGGAAAAAGACACATATCAACAGTACCAGTCAAATTGATCCAATCTTAGAATGAGTCACACTCCAAGTACATCGAATAAAAGTTCTGTACAGCAACCTTGAGACATCTGGAAAAGTTGTCGTCTATACTGCGACCAAAAGAAGTTTGTTTTATTAGCCAAGATGACAACGCGAGACCCCGTTGGGTTAACAGCTGCAAACAAACAAGCTCAATTGCTTATACGTGTTGAGTATCGCATCAATTTGCCAGACCAGGATTGGGTTGTTGCAGCAAGATATTAAGTTATTCCATCAGTAAATGATGGAATTAGCATTAAAAAAAGATGAACTTAATAAACTAGATGCTGTTACTTATTCAGGTCCATCTTATATTGCAATCCGATCAGGTAAATATTCGTCTTCTTCTGCTCTTGCTCATGGTTTAGACTTTGAGAGATTGTTACAATTAGATAATTTTGGTGCAATAACAAAAGACGGCAGAGATAAGACAATTAAAATGGCAATGTAAAATGTTGCTTTAAAATTAGAAGATCATATTTCAATGTTGTTCCTTCACGAATCTTATGCCAGTTATTCAAACAAGTAATGGTCTTCAAGCTGACAAAAGAGAAGACAGTGAGTCTTATAAGTTTCCATCACTTTTTGTTTCACATAGTATTAAAATAGACAATATAATTGCAAGATTGGCAGGAAGTTTCCAAGTTTATCCTTATAATCTCTTTTGATAGCGTAACACTTTCTGGACGACCCCAAAGAAGAAAAACCATTTGAACTGATAGGGGAGTTTGAGGAAGAAAATACAATTGAATTTAAAGAATGGGTTACTACTGATAGATCAGATTTAGATATACAGTTTATAAGCATAGCAGATTATATAAATATATATAGTAATTGAAAAACTAATTAAGCTAATAGCGCATTCGTATATTTTTAAATGCCAATCTAAATATTTAAAAAATTGTAAAGAAGAAGTACAATTAGTACAGTTCTTTCATTTATTATTACAAATCTTTCTTTTACATTTAATTTATTCTTTTATTTAATTCTTGTAGATTTTTTTTTTTTTTATTTTACTTCACCTCCTCAAGGCCGAGAAGGCCACTACAAACGAGGAGGCTACTTATTTTGTGGCTATAACCCTCTCTCAACTCTATAAATCTGAAACACGAACCTTGACGAACAAGGCCGCTGCGCGGAGAAACGAGTTGAGCGCGGTACTACTAGGGACGTGGTGGGGATCGAACTCGGAACCATTCGTTTATGAAGCGAGCGCTCTACCACTACACCACTACCGCATTTAGATTTAGCAAAAAACTATAGTTTTCTTGTGTAGGATGATGTACAAGACTTCCATCGGAGTAATCTTCAGTTTACAATATGAAATTATGTTGATTATGATGTGCAAATGTCTCATTAATATGAATCTTTTTTTTTTCTTTGTATTAATTGTTCTTCATGACACACTTTTTTCCTTAAATATAATCTATTTAATAACAATAATAAATTGTATACAATTTTTATTCAATCATAATTTATTATTATATATAAATATGTAGAATATTGTAATGTATATGTTATATTTTGATTATTTTTCTAACTATTATATACTTGTTTTTTTATTTTTATAATTTATATTTAATTTTACTTTAGATGGTCTGTTAAAAGGCATTGCTTGATAGAATACGACGACAACAGTTTATTCATTAAATGTTTTTATGAAAGTCAATCATCATTTACCGATGACATAAAATCAACTGTCGATAAACGAGGTCGGTGGTGTATTCATATTTACAAAGATAAGATCGAAAGGTTGAAGATTCTATTAAGTTATAGAGAATTGAAAAAAAAAAAGATTTTGAAGAAAACTTTCTTTCATGGATTAATCTTTGTGAAGTATTATGGCTTAATCTTAATAATAAAATTGATTTTATTAAAGATATTTATAAATGGATTTCGAATTTTATAAATGGATTCGTAATTTGAATATCAAGAGTTTTTATATCACCTACCGTTGTGAAAAGTTTTGTAACCTTGATGAGTTAAAGAACTTTATTAAATATTAAAATGTTTATTACCTTAAACTTATAAAACAAAAACAGTAATTATAAACAATTAATTAAATATTTAATGTATTATTTTATAATAAATATGTTTTTAAATATACGAATAAATTTTAATAATATTAGATTTATTTTTTAAAATCTGTTATTATCAAAGTATATAATTAATTCATTTTAAAATATATATTAATAAAATATATATTAATTTAGTAATAATAATATAAATTATTAAATATAACAATTATTATGGTTTATAAATTTTTTACTTTAAGTTTGAATTTTTTTTTTTTAATATTATTATTAACAAATAATAATATTATTAACAATTAATAATAATATCATTATTACCAATTACAAATAATATTATTATAATAATAATAATTATAATAATCGATAATAATATTGTTATAATAATTATACTAATCGATAGTAATATTGTTATAATAATAGTTATAATAATCGATAGTAATATTAAACTATTATAATGATTTTATTTATTTTTCATTATAAATTTTTTAATCTTATTTTTTTTTTTTTTTTAGATATAATTATATTTTCAGTTTTTAATTAGTTGCTTATTATATTATGAATATATATAAAACTAATTTTTTTATTACTATTATTAATAATTATTTATTATATATTTTATGTATTTGACATTTATGCTTTATTATGTTAAAGATTTTTTTATAAGTATGCAAAATAAATTAAATATTATATTTATTATTTTAATAAGGAAAGGTTGCGTAAGATGAGCAGGTTCCTAAGATGGTATAACCTCTTTTACGGGTAGACTAATGATTTTTTCGCGAACTTATTTGGTTAAGGATATTCATACAAGTTCGACGGTGTTATTTATTTTAATTTCTTGTTTGTATAGCTTTTGAGTTAATTGATATTGTAAGAAATTTAATTTTATAATCAGAAAATAAAAATATATTCATTTTAGATTTTTATAATATAAATTTATGTTTGCTTAAATGTTTTTTTGAGGTTTTGTTTCTTTCGTTTCTTTAATTTTTTGTTTCTTTAAATTTTTGTTTTCAACGAAATTAAAAAAAACTCGATAATTTTGTAATATATACAATTTTATATATATACAACTAACACATAGACCTTGTACAAGGTCCCTGGTTTACTTAAACTATTTTATTTTTATGAATTCTTTTACACTTTTACTATTACAAATATTTTTTTACATTACTCTTGACCAGTGGTGAAGCTACATATTTAGCGCTTGGAGCAAAAATTGTATTCGCCTCCATAATTTTTTGAAGTAAATTAAGAAATTTTTTTTTAAAAATTGCGTTTTAATCATAGAGATTATATACAATACGGAATCGAAAAACCTTCTATGTTTGTAATATTCAATTTGAAGATACCAAAATGGATATTGTTGGCAATCTTGATGCTAATAATCCAGTAGAAATAAAGTAAAGATTTAGGTTACCAATTCTGATTTAAAATAACATTTTCTTGGTAAAAGCCATGCGTTTAGTCATCTTATTCATTATGTTTATATTCTTTTAATTTGAACATTTAAATAAATATTTTACTGTTCAAAATATATTTTTATAGAAATAACAATTTATTTAAAGTCAAACATTCAAAATTTATAGACATATCGCGAGGTTAGAATTATTTTGTTCTACCTCCATTCATACCTCCATCTCTGCGAGGTTAGAATTATTTTGTTCTATCTCTTTTTGTGAACCGAGAAAATTAAGTTTTAAATGGACCTGCAGACCAAATAACATAAAAAACACAAACAAAACCGATTTGTATTAATTTCCTATACAGGCTACCTCAGTTTTAAAGACATTGTATTAAAATATTTATAGTGCAGGTGTCTGAATTACTACACCCTGATTTGGAGATAAAATAATACAATACACACTTATTTTATAAAATAAAGTGTTATTTTGTTCTATCTCCATTTTCTGTTAAAAAATATAATACAAACTACTATTTTTTTTATATATTGTGGCAAGTTGGTTGTATATTTTGACAATTAAAGTACTGTAAGGTACATATCTGTTTTATTAGAAAAAAATCTTATTTTACACAGTGAACAAATAATATAAACACGCTAAAATTCAATTCAACAGAGAAGATAAGTAGTATATTATCTAAAGTAAATACCAAGACAAAATAAAACTTCAGATTTTGAAGGACATTGGCTTTAACATTTGAAATTTGAGCACCCTGATTCAAGGCAGAAAACATTAGTACCTCTGCCATGACTAAGATCGTAGATTGTTAACTCATGCTTTTGAAGAAACATTATAACATGATTTTCTGTAGTATACATGATCTGAATGCTAGATGCTTTATCTAGATATAAGGAACAAGCTTAAAATTAAAAAAACTTACAATAGCTAAAAAATCTTTGAAATCCAACTTCATTTGTTAGATAGAAATTATTTTTTTTTTGAAGAGCAGGAATTGTTCTGATTAAATTAAAGTAACTTAATGTCTCAAAAGGAGCGAGTGCTCTTTTTGACTGTAGATATTATCAACCGCTTGTATACTAGAGTTCCCTGGTCTGAAACCTTTGTTAAATTAATGTGATTTTTGGGTAACATATTACAAACCATGTTATACCATGAATGCAATCTTGGGCACACTAACTCTGCTTATAATAACTTTGAAAAAATTTTCCTAAAACTATAATATGCACTTCCCAATCAAAGTAAAATTAATAAAAGAAAAACATTTAAAATGGCCATGGATCACCAAAGGTATTAAAAAATCCTCAAAAAAACAACTTTATATTAAATATTTAAAAAATAGAAATGAGGCAAATCTAAATGTTTACAAACAGTATAAAAACTTGTTTGAAAAAATCAAAAAAAATTCAAAGAAAAACTATTCAAATAAAATAAAAAACACAAATGGTGATATTAAGAAAACTTGGGATATCATCAAAGAAATAATTAGGATAAAAACCTGCAAAATAAATAATTTACCTGCTCAAATTGTCATAGATAATAAAGAGTATGACAATAATAATGCAATTTCAGCAAAAATTTAATCGTTTTTTTGTCAACATAGGCCCAAATCTAGGTTCAAAAACCCATTGTTCAAATAACTCATTTGAAACTTATCTAAATAGTGTCAACAACGAATTTATATTTAAAGAACTAAAAATTGATGAACTCGAAAATATTTTCGCAAACCTATTTTCGAAACATTTAAATTATGAATTAAAAACTGGAAATTAAAAGTAACTAAAATTGTATCTATTTTTAAAACCGGTGAAACATTTCTAATAAACAATTACAGACCAATCTCAATAATTCTAACCTTTGCTAAAATACTTGAAAGAATAATCTACAATAGATTATATGAATACCTAATTCAAAACAAGTTCTTAAATAAAAAACAATTTGGCTTTCAAGCACAGCACTCAACAGAACATGCGATTTTATATTTAGTTAATAATATAAATGATTCTTTTAATAAAAAAAGCAATTTGTATTAGGAACTTTTATAGACCTTTTCTAAGCATTTGACACAATTAATAAAGATATCTTACTAAAAAAAATGAAAAAATACGGAATAAAAAATACTAGCCTAGATTGGTTTAAAAGTTATCTGTGCAACAGACACCAATTTGTTATATCTAACGATAATAAATATTCTAATTTACTAAAAATAAAATGCGGAGTTCCCGAAGCTTCCATTCTTGATCCTCTTTTATTTTTAATTTATCTTAATTATTTTAATTAAATCTTCCACAATAACTAAAAAAAACTCGATGCAATAATGTTTGCTAATGATACAAATTTATTTTATTAATCAGCATCAATTGAAAATCTTTTTGAACCTGCGAACGATGACCTTGAGAGAATAAACATTTGGTTTAAAGTAAATAAATTATCTTTAAATATAGAAAAAAACAAAATACATCTTGTTTCATTCTAACTAGCAAAAAAATAAAATACTAAGCATTCTACTATTATTAAAAATTGATAACATAAACATCGAAAGAACTGAAACTATAAAATTTCTTGGGATAATTATTGACGAAACGATTTCTTGGAAAGCCAATATAAAAACATTAAATACAAAAATATCAAAAAGTATCGGTATACTTTACAAAGTCAAACCTAAACTTTCCCAGGAGAATCTAAAAATTCGCGATTTGTTTTATTTATAAAGTTACCTAACATATGCTAATATTGCCTGGTGAAGTACAAATAAATCTAAATTAAGTTCTCTATATATACACCAAAAACACGCATCAAGATTGATTTATAATAAAAATAAATTCACTCATGCCGATCCTTTACTTAAAAACTTGAATGCTTTAAATATCTATCAAATTAACATCTACAAAAATATTTTATTTATGCTCAAATATATGCTCGGACTTGTCCCAACTCGTTCTAATAATAACTTTTTTCACACGAGGAACCGAAAACTTTACGTTGCCCATTAAAAAAAAAAAATTTTTTGAGATTTTTAATTGTATACCGTGGCTACTATTTATACAACAAAACAATACCTCAAAATATTTATACAACAAAACAATACCTCAAAATATTTATACAAGAAAACAATACCTCAAAATATTTATACAAGAAAACAATACCACAAAATATTTATACAACAAAACAATACCTCAAAATATTGAACTTACTAAATTGAATAATCTTATTGCCCTAAAGAAAAAACTAAAAAAGATCTCATAATTAACAAGACCAATTTTATCGATATATATTAAATATAAAAGAGCAATTAATATAATAAAATGTAGCTATTTAAGCTATAAAAAAAAAAAATAAGTAATAAAAATATAAAAAAAAATTAATAAAAAAAGAAAGAAATAAAAACATAAATTAAAAAAAAATAAATAAATACATATAGTTAGCAATTATACATAGTAAAATATTACTGAACAGATGACTTCAAAAAGTTAATGTGTGTTTTATAGACTTACTCTTTAAATTTATGGTTTATTTTGTATTTTAAACGTTCTCGATGAAAAGACTTTTTCATCGAGAACCTTTTCTTAGTCTACTGCGAGTTTCTTTGCAACTACATAGTAATATTAGTATATATTAAATGTTTACATAATGTTTACAAATGGTAACAGATTTGCATTAAACAATGGTACAAACAAAAACAAATGGTAACAGATTTGCTTATAAATTTAAAAAAAATATATCATTGAACAGTTTTTTTAAAAGAGTGGAGTGATGATTGGATAACTTTAAGTTAAGATATTTACGCGGTATTTTATTAAAAATTACGTTCTCCGGCGTAGAGGGTTCTAATCTGTAGCACGGTACTTTTTCAATTTAATTCATTACATAAATTGGATTGGGGTTGCTAGCAGACTTTCTGCATGCGTTTGCTTGTGAATTGACAAGATTCACTTTTCTAACGCAACCAAAAAAAAAAGTTTTCGCCGTAATAATTTGTACGCTCGGAGCATTTCCTTCAACTGCTTCCCCGGTAGTTACGCCTCTTGAGAATATTCACGAGTATTAATGAGGTGTAATACCTCAACTTTAAATGAGGTATAATACCTCAACTTTAAATGAGGTATAATACCTCAGTAACAAGCAAAGGTTGGTTAGTTACCAAGTAGAAGCTTTTGAACTTTTTTTAATGTAATATTCTATCATTAAATTTTCACGCTTCCGACAAGTATCTTGGCAGGATGTAAACCCGCGAGATCCTACTTAGTTATAATTTTGATGTTGTTTATAAAAGTGTATTTTAAAGATTGACTTTAAAAAAAGGCAACTATTTTTGCCTATTACTTCATTAACTAATTTTTTCTAGTGCTAATCATGCTTTTTTGAAAACGAAATGGTGGTTGTTTTTTTCTTTGAAAAATAAACCAAATTGTATATAGACATAGTTATTATGTTTTTTGAGAAACTGATTTTGTAAAATGCAATAAAACTACAAAATATTTAGAAGCTCATAAATTGACAGTGTGAAAAGTGGGATGGTGAGGGGAGGGGATTGTCTAAAAAGAAAAATTTGTTTCCAATTTTCAATAGATGATAGGAAGAAACTAAAAAAAGTCTTCACAAAGTTAAAAATAAAATGGTAACAAAAGTTAAAAATAAAAGTAGTAACCGAACAAAAAAAATATTCTTGAATATACATGACATACGGTTAAAAGCCTCAAAAAATATTTGCGTAAGTTATTTAATGGTTATCTCTATTCAAGTTTAATTTTTTTTCATCTTTATTTAAACATTAAAATATTTTTAGATTGTTCAAGGATAAAATAAAGAAAAAAAGTCACAGTCATAGTGGGTCGATCACCTTTGAATTTTGATGAAGCAAGTAAACGAACAAAACGGCGAAAAACTGCGGAAATGCGTTCCACATTTAGTTCACCCGAGTTAGCTTTTGCTTCTCAGATGAGTCTTTGGGCTTCAAAAGCATGCAATGCTGTAGTTACTGCTAAAGATTTACCTTTCACTATTCGAAACCAAGCCTCAAAATATATAGAGAATCTTAAATTGTCCCAAATTTCACAAACAACTGAATTATGTGCTGAAACAGCTCTTTTTATACTAATGGACCCCAGCCAAAGTCTTTTAAAGCAATCTTTTATATTGGCCAATTGATTAATTTTTCTTGATAGTTTTTCCCTGAAATATCTGAGACGCTTATTATTAGCTTCCATTCCTTCTTCACTCCAAGATTTCAAACCGGTGGAATCATTTATTTCTATTAACTCCCAGCTATGAGCAAGAGTTTTGTGCAGTGTTGGAGTTATACTTACTCAATAAAATTCTTGTAGAAGCTAGATGTTTAGCTCCTGACACATTTGTTTGTATAACTTAATATTAATTTTTTTGCCAGATAACATTGCTCTCAGAATAGCGAAAGAAAGCAAGCCATACTTTTCAACTAGTTTGCGGTCAGTTTGACTTGGTATGTGATCTGTAACAACTTTTTGCATTACATTATTTTGTAAAAGTTTTCTGGCAACATTTCCAGTTGTTGTATTGCCCTTTTGTCCGGTTGATTCTTGCTTTTTCTTCTTTCAGCAATGTTGTGTTATTGTTTAACTTAGATTCTTTCCAAGTTAAGACACCTGCCGCCATGTGAACAACTACCTTCATAAAATGATCAAATCTCCTGAGCAAACCATGTAAAACCTGAATGGACCTAACATTCGAACATGGAATTGGACATGTAGTTTTACCGTGTCGAATTTCGTAATCCTTTTTTTTTTCAAAATGGTCCCGTCCTCATTTACTAAGTCAAGAAATATTTGTTGCATGGATTTAACATCCCTGTTTATGATGAAACCATCTTGAACTGTTTGTATATTTTCACATTGTTCTTTTGAAAGGTCACAAAGATCACAATATGAACCTCCAAGGCCTTTATAAATATTTGAAGCCTTTTTGTCTAAACTATGAGCGACAACGTTTACTTTAACATGGTAATCATTTTGATTATGCTTAACAATAATTCCGTCTTCCTTCATACACTGTATGTCTTCGTTAAATAAAGAAAGAGATCGGATATTTTCATTTGACTCTTTTCCTCATTTGAATCATAAGTGGCCTTTGAGTAGACTCTGAGTTAGAGTATTACTGTTAGACTTAGTAGAGTTAGGGTCTTTGATTAGACTCTGAGTTAGGTACAGTTGAGTTAGGGTATTGCTGTTAGACTTAGTAGAGTTAGGGTCTTTGATTAGACTCTGAGTTAGGTACAGTTGAGTTAGGGTATTGCTGTTAGACTTAGTAGAGTTAGGGTCTTTGATTAGACTCTGAGTTAGGTACAGTTGAGTTAGGGTATTGCTGTTAGACTTAGTAGAGTTAGGGTATTTAAAAGTTAGGGTATTCCCACAATCTAATACTTTCATGATTTAAAATTTTAAGTGGACAAAAAACATTGCCATAATAATGTTGCTTGTGTTAACATTGTGCAGTTGGTTGTAAATTTTGTGTTCACCACTTCCATCGTAGCCGAATTTTACTTCTAGTGTAAGGCTGTTTTTTCTAGAAGAAACGGAAATACCTTCAAGCCTCAAAATTCTCTCAATAGTAATCTTGATAGATTCAATAAAACTTGCATAGACACCAACAAAAGGATCTGGAAGATAACTTGTTGTCAATGGAGTGATAGAATTTCGGAACAATTGAATTTCATTCCAGGATGGTAATACATCTATACTGTTTGCTTTTAGCATTTTTCTCTGCTGAGTATAAGTCATTCGATCAAAGTTTGACTCATTACAAATAGCAGCCGCTGTCACTGTCGGTATTTTCAACTTTAATGTTTTATTTTTTTCTTCACATCTTGTTAGAAGAAATTCACACATACTTTTAACATCCATTGTTTCATTTTTAGCAAAATCCTATAAATAATGATAAAACATGATATATATACATATATATATATATATATATATATATATATATATATATATATATATATATATATATATATATATATATATATATATATATATATATATATATATATATATATATATATATATATATATATATATATATATATATACATACCGGTTTTTACATCCATTTAAAACAATCATGACAACCATTTAAAACAACCATGACATTTAAAACACCGCGACAATCAATTAAAACATTTTATATAAATTTATTTTTATTAATATTATATTAATTTATTTTAATTTAAAGGAATTTATTTAAAATTTGAATGGATGTCACGTTTGTTTTAAATGGATGCAAAACCATATTTTTTTACATATTTTTTATACACATACTGTATTGGCAAAACAACCATGATGTTCAATTAAAACATGCATGATGATAATTAAAACAACTTTGATTTCCTATTAAAATATTTAGCGCATGAGGATATTAGATTTTCATTAAAATATGCAGCGAAATTCTGTTTGCCAAAATAAGCGAAAATTTGTTTTGAGAAAAATTCAATCTGAAACTTCATTGCCGCGAAAAACTCAATCTGAATCTTCATGCCGCAAACTTCCGTTTCCCAAAACATGCGAGATCTTGTTGTAAATCTAGTCGTTGATCAAGGAAAAACTCAATCTGAAGCTTCATCGTTAACAGGAGTTAATCGAAACACAATACAATCAATTTTAAGAAGGTACGATCGAACGAATTCAACACTTCCTGGTTCTAGAGGTGGCGCTCGTCACGTTATTTATAATGAAGAGATTAGAAGAAGAATTTAAGAGCTTATAAACGATAACACAACGACAACTATAATTGAAATTAAATATGTTTTAAATGTAAATTTATCAATTAAAACTGTCTGAAGATGGGGGACCAATCTTGGATACACATATAAAATTACTCGACCAATTTATGAAAGAAGAACGACAATGATGTAAAAAATCTTCGTATTGAATATGTTAGGTGGTATTATTTAATATCGCCTATTAATCGCTATCGAAATAGCAGCCGTGGCGCAGTGGTAGCGCACTTACCTCAGAAACGCAAGATCCGTGGTTCAAACCCCAAGTTTTGCGACATCGGTTCGGAAGGAGGCGTGAACTTCCTCATACATTATTTTCCAATTACTGTCGACATACCTCGACAGTAATTGGAAAATAAACATATTTTAAATAAAATAAGATTTTAAATTTTTTTAAAAAATCCAATAAAAAAAATATAAAGAAAACCTTCTTTTTAAAGTAATATAGAATGTTGAGATTGCGCATGCGTTAAATGTTTTAATTGAAAGTTAATTAAAAATCACATTGTTTTAATATATATTATATGCATCTAATTATAATACCTGCACATTTTCCCATAGCTTTTGTGATGTTCTTAACTGATGTTTCCTTGATAGGGCTGACCAATGTTTTATCATCCTATACGGACTGGTTTCTTCGTCATTCTTATCAGGAGGTTCAAAGACTGAGCTACTTTCTTTAGTCTTTGGACTTATTCTTATAATGACTTCTTTTGATCCATATTTTAAAAAAGCGTCTTTTTCTAATTTTAACTTTTTCTTTCAAATGTTGAAATTTTCGCAAAATATTTTTTAGTATTCCAACTTCATTTTCTCCTAACCTAGCTTGCGTTTCATTTTCTATTATGGTAGTCAAATCAGATACATGAGTGGCATTGTTGTCAATTATTAAAGTAAATAATTTATGCTCTGTTAAGCAATATTTTTCAAGCGTTGCCATATTTTATTGTTTTTGTTATTATTATTTTTCTTTTTTAAATATTTTACTGTGCTTTTAATTGTTTATAATTAATTTTACTTTCTTATTTCAAAATAATCTTATCATAAAAGTATTTACTATATTTATATAAGTTTAAATGATCATACAAATAAAAATATGAATTTTGATGGTAGAAATAAATTGTTTTATAATAATTGCCTGGTATCTGATTGTTTCCTAATTGTGAGGTTGGAATTTCTCCGATGCTTCAATTACCACAATTAGTTTGCTGATGACGGACTTAACTGTTTAACTACTTAAACGCGCTTTTAATTTAAAAGTTTTTAGTCTTCAAATCTTCGTATTTGAAACCACAACAAGATCATCGAACTTTTAAAATTTGACATATAATAGAAAAAGTGTTTCATTTATTTAAAAATTTTATGGGGCCCTAGATTTATCGCTTTAGATGTATGGCAATTAAAAACACATGTACCCAGTGGGCACACGAGGTTATTTCGAAGTTGATTTTTAGTCGCAACGTCGTATAACCAAAAATCAACGTTGTATCAACGTTGAAAAATTTATTTAAAACTATCAAATAAAATCGACGTTGATTCCACGTTAATTCAACGTCTATTCGACCGTTCGTAATTGTAATATGAGAACTAAAATACGCATGCGTGACTTAAAATTTTTTTTATAAAGCATAACAAATAACAAGTAATAATAGCATAACAAATAACAAGTAAAGACTTAAAAAGTTAGTTATTAGCCCAATAAAAACAAGTAAAGTCCCACATGCTAATAAATTGGGCCATCTGTCGCCTTTTTTTAAGGTTTTGAATTTGACAATTTAACAATAATACATGGCTTAACTTGTGATGCAGTTAGTCAGGTAAATATTAAATGGATATTTCTTTATGGCCGTATTATTTCATGAGTGTGGATTACAAGAAGAGATTACTTGATATATTATATAAATATAAAATATATATTATATATGTTTATATATTTATATAATATATATATATATATATATATATATATATATATATATATATATATATAATATAAATATATATATATATATATTATATATATTATATATATATACATATATGTATATACATATATATACATATATATATAGTATATATATTTATATTATGTATGTATATATACATATATAGTGTATGTATATATTATATATGCATATTATATATATGTATATATATATATATATATATATATATATATATATATATATATATATATATATATATATATATATATATATATATATTATATGTATACACACAGATATATATATATATATATATATATATATATATATATATATATATATATATATATATATATATAAGGAATAATTATTTATTAACCTAAGATGGCTTTTTACTAACTAATGGAAAGTTTTATTGTGTTGAATTTGTGTATGGAAATGGATGATGTTTTACAAAATAATGATTTATCAAGCTTTTTTACCAATCCATGTGATTTAAAGAATTTGAATATTTTTTATATTAAAAAATTTTTTATTAAATTTTTAAAGATTTTTTCATGATATTGGTTGGTAGAAGGATCAACATAAAAATTAAGCAAATTTTAGCAACTGTATAATGTATCGTAACGTACAGTTTAAAGTTGTATTTTTCTGTTAGCTATTTTATATGAACAAATTTTTAATATATGAGTATTTTTTCTATTATATTTTCTACTATACTTTTCCAGTTGAAAAAGTATATTAGGGCAAGCAAAATGTTTATTCGAGCTGTTTGGATAGAAAATACTGAGAAATAAAGAGAGAAAATTCGATTGATAATTTTTTGTGCTGGCCATCATCATTAAATGTAATAAATTGTTTCAATGAAATGCATAAACCACATCTAACTAATACAGATTTGCGCTGCTCAAAATTTAATGTCATGGAGATAATGTAATTTTTTTAAATATAAACCTTAAGTCGTTACTTTTTTTCCTTGTTTTTTTAACATGCTTTCATTCTGTATATGTTGTTTTCAGTGTTTAGATATATTCTTCATTATATATTCTTTATTATATAATGTATTTAAAACATTTTTAATTTAAATGAATATTCTTAGAAAATAATGTGGTGTAATTATTTTCTTAAACCTTTAGGTTAACAAACTTTCTAAAATTGGAGGTAAAACCATCAAGACAAATACAAAAAAATGTGATGCAAAGGTTTGTTAAAAGTAGTTTTAAATAAAAAATCTTTTGAATCTTTTTATTATAGTTTGTTTTAAACTTGTGTTAAAAATATGTGTAGCATATATTTTTTAAAGTTGAATGTTTTATATGTATATATATATATATATTTTTTTAAAGTATGAATATATTATATGTATATATATATATATATATATATATATATATATATATATATATATATATATATATATATATATATGTATATATATATATATATATATATATATATATATATATATATATATATATATATATATAATAGTGCAGTTTAAAGTTTTTTCTTTTATTTATAAAGTTGTACTTGATAAAAATAAATAAATAAAGATGAACATTTTGAATATTTATTGATTATTATGATAAATTATATAAAATATATATAAAGTATAAATATTTTGCAAAAACACTTTTATTTGCAATAACTGCTTCATTGCATTGTGGCATGCTTGCAATTTATTTTTTATAGTTTCTGTCAACTCTTGGTTATTATGCTAGATCTTGATAATCTCTTCCATAAGATCTTGCTTATTAGTAAGATTATTTTTTTTCTAATCTCTTGCTTTACTATTTCCCAAATATTTTCTATGGGGTTAAGATCATGCGAGTTGTCTGGCTATAGCAATACATCAACTAAGCCATAACAGTTTTTATTGTGTGACAAGTTGCACCATCTTGCATAAATATAAGATTTTTGACATTATTTTTAATTTTTTTTTGTCAATTTTTGACATTTTTGGCTAGACATCAATCCCTCTTCTTTTAGCCTTCTACAAATGGTCTGGTCTGACACAACAATTACAGCTTCATGGATAAGCTTAGTGGCTTTTTTTCTCTTTTCCAGGCAGATATTTCTGATTATACTGTCCGCTCTTGGTGTTTTCTTGCGTTTAGAAGGTGGTCTCCTTGGACCAAACTCTTCTCCTGTATCAATTCTTTTTCTTACTTGCATTACGGTTTGGTAAAAAACCTTTGCGGTTTGTGCAATTTTTCATTGAGAATAATTTGTATTTTGTAAAAGACATGTTTATCAATTTTTAATGTAACTATAATAATAATAACAATGTAAAATGCAGGTTGTTAACCAATGGTTTATAATCAAAATTTAATATGGCTGGCGGTAAAGCTAAAGAGAAGTTTAAAGGAACAAACATTAGGTATTTACTTGTAAGTTAAGTGTAAAATTATATATTTTTAAAAAATCACAGTTCGTTTTTTTAATGCTAATTTATTTTTTTTAACTTTTTGATGTATTTAATGTAAATTACTCAGGCAATACATTTTTCATAGAGATTCACCCGATGTATAATATTCATACTTTTTCCTAGTTGTTCTGGAACTATTGATAATAGTTATTATTGATAAATTGATAAATATATTACTGATAAATAAAACTTTTTTTTTCAAACATTTTACTTTATTTGCATTGTATATAAAGTCCGTTGAAGCAATTTAGTTGTATCTGATTAATTTACGTGAAATATAATATTCTCTGCGCAAATTATTGCTTTTTTATTGTATTATTTTATTGCAATTAAAGTTGAGATAATTTTTTAGTTAATTGGATTTAAAAAAAATAAAAAACAAAAATCAACGTTGAATTTATGTTGTTTCAACGTTGTTCTAACGTCTTATCAACTACGTATCAATCGAATATATCACCTATTCAAAGTTGAAATATGGTTGATATATAGTCGATAAGACGTTAGATCAACGTTGAAACGACGTAATCATCGACGTTGTTTCAACGTCGTAGTTTTCGACGTCGGATTTTATTTCCAATTCAACCAAATTTCAACGTTGTTTCAACGTGGTATACGGTCGGTTTGCGACGTTGTTTCAACGTTATTTAAACGTCATTGTGCCTGCTGGGTGTATTAACTTTATTTTAATAGACAATAACTAATTAAATCAAACATTTTGGTGTCCTACAGTTATTGTATCATTTTTTGAACTCATGAAGCTTAAAAAAATATTTCAAAAACATATTGCGACTATACAATTATTTTAGAAAAGTTAATGACTTTCCTTTTTAGCGTCTTTTTTTATGTTTTTCAGTGTGTGTTCTTTGTGTCCTTTATATATTTTATGATTTTGTGAATATTTTTAGGGGAATATTTTTTTAACCAACTAACGTAAAAACATGTAATTAGACTTTATATAAGAATCCTGTATTATATCTTGTAACCCATGCTTTAAAGTGCCCTTTAAGTGTCCTAGAGTCTATAGTGCAATCATGGTGATGAACATAAGAGTATTTTTAATGGATAAAGCTTGAAAGGTTACCCTTAAAACATGAATTTTGACTATGTATACCTATCTGAAAAAATGTTATTACTGACTTTTTTAGGGTATTTTGTAGTGTGTTATTTTGGTGTCCTAGAGTTATGGTATGCCCTCAGGTGTATTATTTAATGATGGAACTTTAAAAATTAAGCTAAAAACATATATCATGACCATGTTTTGTTTTTCCATGTCGCACAGAGAGATTTTTTCTAAGTATAGTCAAATGTCCACAAAAAGTGCAAAATAAACCACTGTGGAATAATTAGAAGGGTAACTTTTAGACTTTCTTAAGCGTCTTTTACAATTGTTAATTTAAATATTCATAATATGGTTAATACATGTGCTGTAGTTTATTGTAAAACTGGATATAAAAAGAGAGAGAATCAAATTGATGTCATTCCTGAAGAGGATTTACTTTTTGGATTTCTTGAAAATAATCCTGACTTATTTAAACAGTGGGTAGCATTTGAAAGTTATGGAAGCCCAGTAAGAATCGAAAGTTATGGAAGCCCAGTAAGAATTCGGCTATTTGTGCTAAAGATTTTGAAGAAAAATATTTAAAAATTGGCAAAAGAGTAACATTAGTTTGGGATTTAAATCCCGTTCCAACTATTTATTGCTTAGCTGAAAAAATACCACCATCAGTATATTCAACTGCATCGAAAATTAGAAAGTCACCGTCTGTCCGCCATCCATTAAACAATCAGGATGAATCCAGTATATTTATAGAAAAAGATAAAATTTACTGTTTAAATGATTTAAATAATTTTAGCCTTGAAGGGTATCAGCTTAAAATTTTTAATGGGAAATACATATTTTTTTAGTTAGAAATTAATCAACACTTAGGTATTTTTGAAGCTACAGAAACAATTGTAGTTGATGAATTTATGCATGTTTCATTGTTTTCTAAATCATCTTATATTCCATTGCCTCCATGGTTTCGAAATACTGGCTGTGTATTGAAAAAAAAAGTGTATTGGAGAATTTTTTTCCAGCCGATGTAAAAAATTATGTTGAAGAAAATAGTTTGTCAAATGGTTTAATAACTGAACTCAATGAAAATACAAAAAACCAGTTGATCAGCCAAAGTTTTCATCAAATCTTTTACGATATTTCCCTTCAATATACATCAGCGCTCTTCAATATACATCAGCGCCCTTCGATATACATCAGCGCCCTTCGATATACATCAGCGCAGGCTTATAAAATCTTATTACAACAGTTTCCTCCACCATCATTTAATCTTTTGAAAAAAATTCTCAAAAACATATGAAACAATTTACTGAATTCTAAACGTTTTATATTCCCTGCTTTTCATTTTGATCAGTTTCATGATGTTATTGATGTACATGCTGGTGAAATATCATGGAAGTTACTTTATGATGAAAAAAAGATGAAAAAAAGGTTTCAAATTATCTTATAAATCACTTCATCCAGGAAATAATGAACAAAGTGTACCACATGCTCTTGGAATATTTGATCCTACAACTTCTGCAGCTATTGAAAGTTATTTTCCAGATAGGACTGATGCCTCAAGCTTTTTAAAGTTGATAAATATATGGCGGACAATAAGTAACAGCAAGCAAAAATATAACAACAATTTTTGTATTGGAAATGCAGCTGTTATGGGTGACATGAAACCTTTTTTTTTGAGGAAACTAGGCAAATGGATTGAAAATTGGAAATTATCTTAAGTTTCAAACTCTCAAAAGTTTACATTAAGTAAACAAACATCAGAAGCGTTAAGGACCACTTTAAGATGCACAGCTTCATTTATTGATGATTTAATTCATGAAGGGTGTCACTATTTTTTAGTATCACGCTTGCAAACTGATCCATTAGAACTTAGATTTTCAAAATATCGTCAAATGAATGGTGGCAGATTTTTAATTGGTTTGCGTGAACTTGAGACAAATGGTGGCAGATTTTTAATTGGTTTGCGTGAACTTGAGACATCTGAGTGCATATTATCTTTGAAAACTTTATTTAAAGAGTCAGTCAACATCTGGGAGGAAGATGTTAGAAAAGAGAGTTGTAATATATCTTTACTTAAATTATTTAATGATAAATTGCAAGAAATTTTACCAGATATTGAAGAATGCACTTTAGATTCAGAGAGATTTGAAGTTGCTACAGTTATTTCTGGTTATGTTGTTAAAAAGTTAATAAAAAGATCAAATGTGGTGTTTTTAAACTTTTCTATTAGCTGAATCTGGTGAGCTACAATGTCAATATTTAGAAAAACTTTCTCATGGCGGATTGATTTTACCAGCTATTG